AGCTCCTAGTGTAACAGACTGGTCTACTGGACTGGGACTGGAGCTCCTAGTGTAACAGACTGTTGTATCATGGTGTGTGTGTGTTTTGCTCCACTGCGGCAGTGGGGGGTTGGCTGCCTGTTTAGCTGATCAATGGGAAGCAAATGCATTCAGATCAATACTGAGCCAGGAGAGAGAGGGACAGAGAGGGGGAGGGAGAGAAACAGAGCTGTAGAGGAGGGGAGAAAGACAGTCGTGAGGAGTGAGAAGACGAACTGAAGGAGAAAGCAGAGGGGAAGACAGGGAGGCAGAGGGAGAGGGCGAGAGAGAGAGCGTGGCAGGGCAGGAAGGGAGCAAGGGCTGGGGGGAGGGGAGATGAGGGAGTGCGTCTCCCAGCCTTGACCTCTGCCCTTCAACTCACGACCTTTCGCCCCGTCTGACAAGGCAGACAGGCTGCAGCTGGTTGCCTGTGACCTGTGACCTTCGGCACACTGCTGCCAGACTGCCCCTCCCCACCCACTCCCACCCAGTAGCTCTTCTTCTCTCTTAACAAGCTGCCTGCTTAAAAAGCTGTAATTAGTCCTAATTAACCTGTTAATTAAGCGTGCTAGCTTCTTTCGGATGTTTAAGATTTTGTGCAAGTGCAAGTGTACAAGTCAAATTCCTGTTAAATAAAATTGTTTTCCTGGCAAAAGACAGTTTGAGACTATAAACAGGCTGTCTATACGGGGACATGGAGGACTGCTCAGGGTGTCTGCAGGCTTTCATTTCATCTCAGTTATTCTAATGCCTTATAATATCCCATAATTGGCTAATTGGACCAATTTACCAGGATTCCAAATCAGCCCATTATTGGCTTAATTGGATCAATTTAACACCAGCTCCCCAAGTACTGGTGCCTTAATTTATAGAGACCCAGACAACCTGCAGACACACTGACCAGTCTCTCCATGACCAGGAGATGACAGCCCTGCAGACACACTGACCGGCCCTCCAGGACCAGGACTGGACAGCCCTGCAGACACACTGAC